CATTCCTTCTCCCCATCACTGCTCCCTCCCCCACACCATGCAACCGCTTTTTATTCCTCTTTTAACTTATGTCAATTTTTCATCATTATTTTGAAACTATGTTGTTTCATGAGTACACATTTTGGATTTTCATGTATTTCTAGTGAATCAAACCTACATCCATTATTGAATGTCTTCAATATTTTGATTTTCAGCAGTTTGTCTATTTTGTGCTAGGTTTTGTTTTGTTTTTATTTATCCTGCTTGCGGCTAAGATTTCTCAAACTGTGGGTTAATCTCTTGTCAAACATGGTCATTATCTCTTGGTATGTTTTCTTTTCTGCATTTTCTTTCTTCTGCTTTTGTGAATACAACTGGGAGCATGGCAGAATGTGTGATACTTTCCTGTAGTTCTATTATGCTGTTCTTTTACCTCTATCTTTGCATCATTTTTGATCCACCTTTGTTTTCACTTATCTCAACTTTTGCTGCATACAATCTGCTTTAAGATGCATCCAAAGAATTTTTTTTAATTATTTTTAATTTTAAAATTCAAATGTGGTCATTTGAAGTCTACATTTGTCTAAATTTTCCTCTAAATTCTTCAACATTTTAAAACCATGTATGAAATTCTAAGTCTAGCTCATATGTTTGTGACTAATATTTGCTCTATTATTATTTCTTCTATTATGAGTTATATCTTTCTATTCCTATTCATGTCTACTTTTTAAAACTGTTAATTTTGTGAATGATACTTTGAAGATATACTTTTATACTATGTATGTATACACATACATGCATACTGTATATATATAAACTATATGTTCATATATTTTTTTTAAAGAAAAGCAGTTAAATTGTTAAATTTAACCCTCTCAAGGATTAGCTTTTCTTTTATTAGTTTTCTCCTTTCTATGAAGGCACAGCTTTAATTAATAGGTTGTGGACCTTATTCCTAGGGTGATGCCATTCTAGGATCTCAATTGAATACTTGTGTTATTCTTCGAATTATTTTCACTCTAGCTACTTCAAAACCAGCATACCTGCAGGTCTCTGCAACATCTCAAATCTTTGTCCAGCTCTCAATCCCTCATGTATTTTCTGCTAGAGCTTGTGCAATGTCACCCCACCCACATGCCACCTAGGATTTAGACAAGGACAAAAGGAAGTAGCCTGAAGAAAATTCCATGTACTTCTTTAAGGTTCCCTGCCGCCTTGCAAATAGCAGTTGCCTTAACAGCCCTGAATGCCATTTCATTCATGCGGTGAAACATCAGCTCCCTTTTGGGGCTCCAACATTTTGCACATTTGGGAAGTATCCCTAAGCAGAAATCCGAGTTGAATGTAGTTAACTCGCCTAATGTTTCCCTTTCTTTCAAGGAAGAATGCTCCACTCTGTCTACTGCCAAATGCCTTAAAACAACTGATTTATAACCTTGGCCAAATGCTGTAATTGCTTATGAAGGTGAGTCTGAAAGCAACTATTGTAATCAGAATTTTAAGAAGCACAATATATTATCAAAATATGTGTGTGCTTTTTGAATTCCTTACAGGGCTTTGAGTTTCTTAAGAACATCTCCAATATCTATCTTGGTTACTAAATTATGGTAAATACGCATTTGACAAAAAAGAACAAATAAATAAATGCATGACGAGTTTATTAAATGGGAATGTTTTGACTCATCTAATTTGATTAAGCATCATGAAAGGTGACCAATACAACCAAGCATCATAAATTTGAAAAGCACTCAGGGCCAGAAATCCAGAGTGATAAATGTTCAAATCCTCACTCCACTACTGCCTAGTCTGATCTTGCTGAAGTTACTTAAAATCCCTGAGCTCTAGTTTCAAATCTAGAAAATAAGATTTGAAACTGACCCCTGTTAAGGCTTATATAGAACATAGCTGCTTACAAGCCTGCATCTAATGTAGGAGTTCAAGACTTGCCCACTTTGTTTCTTTGTCTCAGTGGCTATAAATAGCGGTAGGGTCATAGAAACATATGGACAGATTTTCAAAGCACTCTGTATAAAATACAATCAGAGCAAAAATTGTGTGGTGTGGGAATGAGTGTTTTTTCATTAACACAGGTTAACGCAGGTAATTCTAGCCAAAGTGGTGGATTAGTGCCAGAGAAGGCGTTGTTACTTGTTGATGAGCAGTCTCTTAAATGAGGGCTTTCTCTCAGTGGAAATACACACAGCATGAACAAGAATATTTAGTATCTTAACAGAGCTGCATTTTAAGGAACTAAATTGCTGTTTCTCATACTATAAACTACAAATACTTGTTTACATTAATAATATAGTCTTTATCATTAAGTATCAGTGGATCTTGAAGGCAAACTGGGAAAGATACACTGAAATGTGAGGAGATTTGGTCATTTAGAGAAAGATTTCTATGGATGGAGTTGGAAGGGAGCTGTGGGTGTCAACACAAGTCTCTCGTTCTTGACAAAGTATTTAGAGTTAGCTAGCATTCCAAGGCATTGATGACTGGAGAGGAGAAGAAACAGGCTGGAAAAATGACTACTATCCAGGAAAGAATGACTACTATCCAAGAGAAAGCAAAGTGGGAAGCAGGGTCTCAAATGGATAAATGAATAGAGTTGAGGTAGGAATGTGAGTTGAGCGAGAGCCAAGACAAGAGATCTTAAAGTTTTTCATAAACGAACTTGCAGCATTCAAAGTGCCCTTTTATGGGGTGATGTGAGTATAGTTCATGGCAATGACAGCCTGGTTTACATTTTCAGAGTTGGAACCAACCACCATGGAGTGATAGTGATCTAAAAGGGAAGGAAGATGTTCTGAAGCATGGGTATACCATTAGCCTCACAGATGCTTATAATAGTAATAAATGTTAGAAGTATGAAGGGAAGGCTTCTCTGAGAGAAGGTCATTACTGAGACTCCAGCGTTAATTGGGAGAGGAGACAGCACTCCACAACCAACCCATGGAAAGAGACGGTAAAGCAGTCTCTTTGGGGAAAACTAAGAGAGATGTTCCCAGTTGCTCATATTAGACTTTCTCTCACACAGAGGTTAAGAAGCTGACTTAGATGACCTGTGGACCAGGCAAGCTGAAACCCCAGGGCTGCTTCACTAAGGTCAGAATAATCAGAGGGATCTGAGACCGCCATGGTACGAAATGTCTGTCAAGCTGTCAGGATGTCTGGGATTTTTCATTTTCTTAAATTAGAGGTGATAGAACCGTCGTGTTTCTGACAGCTCCCAAACAATTTAAAAACAAGCATGACATCAGATTTGGTCCAAGGCAGTAGACAACTGAGCAACTACAGAATTGTGATTTCAGGTTTTAATTCCCTATATTTTGTATTTTTAGCAACTACTCTTTTATTTTATCCTTTTATTCATCTCATCTTTCCTATTGTTCTGAGGTCATTTTTCCTTTATTCTCCTACTTTCCCTTTTCCCTTATCCTACAAATAAATAAAACTTAAAAAAGATTTGATAGCCAAAGGCTTCCTGTATTTTCCAAAGACACTTGGACATCCATTAACTTTAAATATCCAAATCTTCTAAATGAAACCTGGCCATGGGTGCAGGACTCATCAGCTAATGTTTCATCACCATCCAGATACACACTTAGAACTTGTCTCTAAGCCTTATGCCCTGAAATACGAGGTTCTTCTCCCCTTCCATCACATACAAACACAAGCCACACCTCCCACCCCATTACACAACATTATCTGTTTTCTTGAACTCCAGTTTTTTAGGGCCTCTGAGTTGACAAAACTCCAGGTGTCCTCAAGCCTAGACCATTCAGTTTACCAGGAGGCGCAGGTAGAAGGCCTATGACTCACTTCAA